TCTGGCACTCACTGATTTCATGGCGCTAAATAATATTACACAAATGAACCCTATTCCTAACGAGGATGGCAGAGTGCTGGACCTTGTTCTAACCAACTGTGTTCCTTTAGAGGTTTCTAACTCCTTAAATGTTATAAGTAAAATTGACCGAAAGCATCCTCCGTTATTGATTACTGTACCGGAACTAAAACCGAACTTACTTAAACCAGCCCAAAAACCTCGACACAACTTTTTCAAAGCGAACTATGATCTAATCTTGGCTCATCTTAGGGAAATTAATTGGTCACAACAGTTCGATAGGTGTCAAAACGTTAACGAGATGACCACAGTATTTTACCGTATTTTAAACAATGCCGTGAAAACATACGTCCCTATTTTGAAGCCAAAAAAAAGCAGGTTCCCCTCATGGTTTAGCAGGTCTCTGATCAGAATAATCTTGGAAAAAGAAAGCAAGAGAAAAAAATTTGTGAAATACAAAAATCCACGCGATAGGTTGGAGTATGAATTACTTCGTGAGCGAAGTAAGAAAATAATAGACGCATGCCTACAAAGTTATAAAAAACGGGTCGAGGGTAATATTGTCAGGAATCCTAAATATTTCTGGAACTATATTAAGGATAGGCGAGGTGGTGAAACTACTATACCTGCCGAAATGAGCCTTGATGACGAAATTGCAAACACTGGTACAAAAATTGCAGAACTATTTGCTAAAAATTTTTCATCAGTGTTTAGTAACACAGTATTACCTGATAGCCTAGAGTCCGCAGTGCACGGTTTGCCATATTTGAGTGTAATTAGATTCAGTGAACATGAAATTAAACGTGCCATTAAAAAACTAGATATCTTCAAGGGTGCCGGTCCGGATGAGATCCCTCCTGTTTTTGTAAAGCGCTGCGGTCCTACTCTTACTCTGCCACTGTCACTTCTTTTCAATAGATCTTTGCATGACGGGGTATTTCCTGAATTGTGGAAAAAAGCTAAGATCGTTCCAGTGTACAAGAAGGGTGACAGCAGTGACATCAAAAACTACCGTCCTATATCCATACTTTCTTGTATACCTAAGCTGTTTGAATCCCTTGTTTGCCCAATTGTCACGCGCCACTTGGAAAGTCGGATGTCAGAATTTCAACATGGGTTTCGAAAAGGACGTTCTATCAAAACGAACTTGGTGTCATTTATGTCCTATCTAAGTAAAGAAATAGATAGACGCCAACAAGTAGACTGTATATACATGGATTTCTCGAGCGCTTTTGATAAGGTGTGTCACTCGCTTCTTATACATAAATTGAGCGGGTCTGGTATTGGTGGGACCTTACTGGAATGGTTTAATTCATACCTAGCAAAAAGACTTCAGTTTGTGGTGCTGAACGGTCACATATCACATGAGTATGTTGCATGTTCAGGAGTACCACAGGGATCCCACTTAGGCCCTGTTCTCTTCTCGGTGTTTATAAATGACATTACCTCATCTATAAATTACTGTAAATACTCACTTTTTGCCGATGATTTAAAAATATTCAAAACCGTTACTTCAAATAATGATGTGGAGCTCATCCAAGCTGATCTCGATGGAATAAATATGTGGTGCAAATTGAACGGCATGATTATTAATACGAAGAAATCTTACCACATTAAGTACACAAAGAAAAAAGTTCAATTGCCATCATCGTATAAATTAGAGCTAGATACGTTACAGGAGGTTAAGGAGATTCGAGATTTGGGCGTAACAATGGACACGAAATTGAAATTCAAAGTGCACATGGACAAAACTGTAAAAGAAGCGGCCAGGATGTTAGGTTTCCTTAAAAGAAATACCAAAGGATTTGTTTCTCCTCAAACCAAAATAATCCTTTATAACTCACTGGTTCGCAGCAAACTAGAATTTGCATCAGTTGTGTGGAGTCCCCAATACGCGGCACCATCTCAACGTCTGGAGAGACTACAAAGATCCTTTACTAGATACCTGACATATCACACTTCCGGCATCTCTCATAAGGCCACCTATGACTTGCGGCTGAAACACTTTAAAATGATGTCACTTTATAATCGCCGCATAATATTAGATATAACATTCCTCAAAAAGCTGTTGTCAGGACAGATGGCATGCAGTGAATTGCTTAATGAAATAAATTTCAAAATCCCGTACAGATATCCACGAAATCCTCTCACTAACATACTTGTTGTACCAGTAAGTAGAACAAATGCTCTAAAACATTCTCCATTATCAAGGATGTGTTCTGAGTACAATCGATTTTCCGCGTCCATTAAAGATTTTGATATTTTTCATGACTCAGTGACAAATCTGAAAAAAAGCTTACCGCACATTTTTGTTGGTAAATTAGATTTGTAATTTAATATTTATGCTACTAAAATTCTTCTTTTTGTTATACTTTTGATTTTTGATTTTTGATTTTTACTTATTAATTTGCTGCAACTCAAAATTTGTAAATTGAAATTTATTTTGAACTTAAATTAATTTAATGTCTTCTAATGAGAGTGATGTATGCACCAGTAATTGGCATGCATACCAAACTATTTATAAGACGAAGATTATTGTAATGTTTTGTATGTTATGCTGTTGGTGTGTCAATAAATAAATAAATAAATAAATAAATAAATAGTGTGCGCAGGAACTGCATGACCTAATTCCTCCCCTCACTATTTCATCATCGAACCACCTCTGGCTGGTCTCTACCCCTTTGTTGTCAAAGTACCACGCATTCGAACCAAACGGTTTGATTCGTCGTCCATAATGCGACAAAAAAGGAGATTTTTTTGGATATAAATGAAAGATCTGGGTGTGTATTTTTGGATTTTCGAAATTAATATTATTATTTTGCCTGCCAAAGTGGCAACTATTCATGGTGGAGGTCTATATTCAACAGTAGATATTTATAGGCTGTAATGGATGGAATAGATGGAATTCACAAACGACAAAAACTACTCACTGGTGTATACAATAAGTTTAAACAGTTTCGGATTCCAATTGAAATAGAATACGTCGAAGAACTTTAGTATGCTACTATAGTCTATCCAAAAGATCTATCCATGTGAGTTTTTATTGATTAGTTAAGGTATTATAACGTGTTAGGGAGTATAACGTGTGACAAAAACTACTCACTTATGTATACAATAATTTTCAACAGTTTCGGATTCCAATTGAATTAGAATACGTCGAAGAACTTTAGTATGCTACTGTAGTCTATCCAAAAGATCTACCCATGTGAGTTTTTGTTGATTAGTTAAGGTATAATAACGTATTAGGGAGTATAACGTGTGACAAAAACTACTAACTTGTGTATAAAATAAGTTTAAACAGTTTCGGATTCCAATTGAAATAGAATACGTCGAAGAACTTTAGTATGCTACTGTAGTATATCCAAAAGATCTATCCATGTGAGTTTTTATTGATTAGTTAAGGTATAATAACGTGTTAGGGAATATAACGTGTGACAAAAACTACTAACTTGTGTATAAAATAAGTTTAAACAGTATCGGATTCCAATTGAAATAGAATACGTCGAAGAACTTTAGTATGCTACTGTAGTATATCCAAAAGATCTATCCATGTGAGTTTTTATTGATTAGTTAAGGTATAATAACGTGTTAGGGAATATAACGTGTGACAAAAACTACTAACTTGTGTATAAAATAAGTTTAAACAGTTTCGGATTCCAATTGAAATAGAATACGTCGAAGAACTTTAGTATGCTACTGTAGTATATCCATATTATCTATCCATGTGAGTTTTTATTGATTAGTTAAGGTATAATAACGTGTTAGGGAGTATAACGTGTGACAAAAACTACTAACTTGTGTATAAAATAAGTTTAAACAGTTTCGGATTCCAATTGAAATAGAATACGTCGAAGAACTTTAGTATGCTACTGTAGTATATCCAAAAGATCTATCCATGTGAGTTTTTATTGATTAGTTAAGGTATAATAACGTGTTAGGGTATATAACCTGTGGTGACAGTGTAAGAATATCCACTACGCCATATCGTCCCGCGGGTGTCGTAAGGAGCGACATGGGGAAACAAACCAGGAGATGGGCAACATTGTCTTAAAATAACAACTAAAAATAAAAACTGCAGTTGCCAACCCGTCCGCCAAGCGTGGCAACCATGGCAAAATCCTCCTAATCTATGGAGAAGGTTCAGCAGCAACTTTTAGATTATTTATTTAAAACTTTTAGATTTAGAATTTACAAACGTTAAAACTCACTGGAAAGTCGCGGTAGCTCAGGGGCTAATCGCTCGCTACAAATTTCACAGTAAGCGAGCAACTCGAGTTCGATCCCCGCCGGCATCAACGAAATTGTTAATTGCAACTTTAAGTGCTGATTTATCACGTGGTCGGTGGTGAAGGAAAAAAATCTTAAAGAAATCTGCATGTCTGCGAAATAAGAAATAAATAATATTTCGAAGACATGAAGTTCGCCAACACGCAATGGGGCAGCGCAGAGCATATCTACTTTTATCTATGATAGGGTTTAGCTCACAGAAACGAGAGAAGTCCTATGCTCAGCAGTGGGACGTATACAGGATGTTTGGTAGATGGGTACAAAGCCTGGAGGGGATGATTCCTTACACCATTTAAAACATATTAAGCTAAACTTGTCTTAGACGAAGTCTGCTCCTTTTTTTAATTGAATTTTTTTTTCAATTAATTGCTAATAGTGTCCAGTAACAGTTGTTATGTTATTCTTTTTTATTTATGTAATGTGTGATTACTCAAACAAAATAATTTCCAGGCATCTTCATCATCAGAAAAACATTTTACGTATATTTAAGTTTAAGAAACCAAAAAAGAATTAGGAAATTTTGTTTATGCCATCATAAAAAAATAAATAAAATAGCCTTTATTGTTCAAACCTTTTAAAAACATGCATAGTTATGGCCTTTTTTTTTGAGGTATTATTTACGCAGATGTCTCATCATCTCTTGTAATTAGGGTGAACATCCTGTATAGGCTGTAACTTTACTTTTTAAAACTCACTGGTGTATACAATAGGTGAATTTAAAAAGCTCCGGGTTCCAATTGAGGTAGAAGACGTCGAAGAACTTCAGTATGCTGTTATAATCTATCCAAAAGACTCCGTTGTCATACTGCGCCGCGCTGTCCGGGTCGTAGTGCAGTTGCTGTCGAAGTGAGGCGGTCCAGTGTGCAGTGTCAAGTTCGCTGTAGTTACCCCGCCAACGGAGATGAGACCACGGATTCTTCAGTTTTAGAAGCTTCACGTCCTACAGAAAAGAAAATTACAATCAAATACGTGCTAGCCAATGCAGCACGAATGGGTAGGATCCACCGAGGAAGGACCACACTCGCACAGCATATTAGCGTTAAATAGCAGCATAAGGCTGCTGTGTTTCGTAAGGGTAAGGATCCGGAGACCCTTTTTGCTAGTAACGAGGCACAGTTCTGACGCTTCGCACGGCGGTATAATGAGTTACAACCTTACAGTTCTGAAACACATTTGATGTCAGGCGATGCCGCCGCCCGCGTAGGTATTTACGCGGCCAGCGTTTATGTTAGGGGTTGTCACGAAAATGGAAATAAAATAATTTTGGATATTATAATACCTACATACTCATTATCATTCATTAACATTATGTACATACTTAAAAGTTAAAAATATTTATCGTATAAGATCATTTTTATTACAACAAGAAAAAACACATCTACAAGTGCCAAATATTTAGGTGACACTTTCTTTTTATAGATGTTTTCAGTTTTCAATTATTAAATTAAATTATGTAGTGTATTCGCATTGGGATAAACAATTTTATCGAAACAAAATGAGCATAACCGTCATTTGAATTCACTTTAACTGAACTCATATAAATAAACAGTCAAAGTTAAAAAGTAACAGGCTATATATGTACGTCCCACTGCTGGGCACAGGCCTTCCTTCATTTCTGAGAGGGTTTAGGGCAAGGAAATGTCCGCCACGCTGGCCAAATGCGTGTTGGCGAACTTCACATGTCTTCGAATTTTTTTTCTTATTTCTCAGAAATGCAGGTTTTATCACGATGTTTTCCTTCACCGCCGAGCACGTGGTAAATCAGTTAACAATTTCATTGGTGTCGGCGGGGATATAATCCGGGTTGCTTATGTACCGTGAAATTTAAACCGAGCGCTAACCATCTGAGCTAGCACGGCTACAGTAATTTATCATTATAAATATTTTTTGAAAACGGCACTTAAATTGATATCATTATTATATAGTATTATTACCCATCACTCAGTGAATTGCGCTAGTACATCGCCTATATACTCAAGTAAACGAGCCGCACCTCCAACACGGCGTACGCACGTGTAGCCACAACATTCATCCTCCGGCGTATGATGCGTTAGTATCACCTATCTACTCACGTAAACGAGTCGCACATCCAACACGGTGTACGCGTGTGTGGCCACTGAAGTCATCCTCCTAACGTGTAAAGCTTCGGTATCGCCTCTATACTCACATTTACAAGCCGCACATTCAACACTGTGTACGAGTGTGTGGCCACTAAAGTCATCATCCCGACGTGTGAAGCGTCGGTATCATCACTATACTCACGTTGACGAGCCGCACGTCCAACACGGCATACGCGTGTGTGGCCACGAAAGTCATCATACCGCCACGCCGTGCGAAGAGTCGATATCATCACTATATTCACGTTGACGAGCCGCACATCCAACACGGCGTGTGCGTGTGTGGCCACGAAAGTCATCATACCGCCACGCCGTGCGAAGAGTCGATATCATCACTATACTCACGTTGACGAGCCGCACATCCAACACGGCGTGTGCGTGTGTGGCCACGAAAGTCATCATACCGCCACGCCGTGCGAAGTGTCGGTATCATCACTATACTCACGTTGACGAGCCGCACATCCAACACGGCGTGTGCGTGTGTGGCCACGAAAGTCATCATACCGCCACGCCGTGCGAAGTGTCGGTATCATCACTATACTCAGGTTGACGAGCCGCACATCCAACACGGCGTGTGCGTGTGTGGCCAAGAAAGTCATCATACCGCCGTGCGAAGCGTCGGTATCATCACTAGACTCACATTGACGAGCCGCACGTCCAACACGGCGTACGCGTGTGTGGCCACGAGACCGGTCCTCTCGGCGTCCGCATCTGAGAGCGCGCCCGTCGCCACAGTCGCCAGCACGTCGCCGCGGTCGAGTCGTGTCCGTATCGTTTCGTATAACGCGTCCGCGTTGAAATCCGCCTCGCCTGTGCGGATCGCACATCGCTCTGGTATCCAACCGGTTAATGCGTGTAGGTCAATATTCTGTACAAGTTAAATTAACTACTTTTAATTATAGTTAGCATTATCGGTTAATTGGTAACTCTTTGACTAAATTAAATGTTCTTATTTGGTTATAATGGCCTCCTACATCAAATGTTTTCAAAGATAAGAGATGTTTGGTGGTTCGGTCGTGAATACGTCTTCAAAGTGTAGCTATTGAAAAAGTAGGAAACCCCAATTATGCTTCTTGAGTTTATGCAAGAAAATTTTTTTAGAAGATTGACAAAAGACCACACAGTCCACATGATGGCAATAGAAATCCACTTCCATGCTCGATTAAGAATCAAATGCAAATACGTTATCACCTCTGAGGACTAAGATGGAATGCCTTTAAACCAGTTACCAGTGAACAGGGTCTCCGGTTTCCTACGCTCACCATACGAAACACAGATGCTATTTCACGCTGGTATTCGGTAAGTAATAAGTATGGTCCTTCACCGGTCGAGCCGACCTATTCGTGCTACGACCATAATATAGCAGCAGCGCGGCTCTACCACGTATAATCATATATTTAAAAGAGGAATACAATAGAATAAATATGGTAAGTATTTATTTTCATAGCATCCAATATAAAAAGTATGAACATAAATTACTGATTAAATTACATTAAAACTACAAACAATCCAAACAATATAAAATCGCATAGCCCTAATCGCATACCATTAAATTCAAAGAAATGTCATTCTGTGTAAACACCAAAGCCAAATAATGATCGCAAACCGAGTCATGCGTTTTATTTATGTTCTAAATTTTAGAATTAAATATTTTAGAATCTAAAATATCTTGTAATTAGGCGTATGAATATGAAGAAGAAAAATGAAATAAAAAAATGTCAACTTACACTATTAGATCCAGGGAAGTCATAACCACCCATAACCTTCATGTAGGCTTTCTCCAACATGGACACCCAGAATTCGTTTTTATTGCTCGAATAGGAGCAAAGCAAGCGGCCGTACTTACTATACGGAAGACGATCATCAATTATTACCTGCAATAAAGAAATCAATTTTTACGATCGATTTTATCGATATACGAGACTTTGGCATTGCCGTATGGTGACCACATAAGGGAAACCATCAACCCCTTCTAGCAGGTGTTGTATGCATTTATTGCACAAAATTTGCTGCAAATGTCCTGCAAATGTTTGTACATTTGTCATTCTATTTTTATAAAAAAAGAAAAATTTTTTAGTCCTTCAACTATATCCATTAAACAAAAATATATAGCAAATACAAGCAACAAACAAATTAATTAATAAATAAGTGCGAATTATTCGAAAGAAAGAAAGAAACATTTATTGAAAACATGGCTCACAAATAAATTAGGCACTTAGTATGTGAGTAGCAGCAGTCTGAGCCTGGGATAATTTATGTGCTAAGCGATGTCCTTCATCATATCGTGAGGAATTCTAAAATCAAGAAACAAAAAAATATTTTAAAAACAAGTGAAGTCAGCTAAATTGTAATACCGCGACGGTAACTTCCATGCTTCAAAAGGCTCTCGAAATGAGACCTGTGCCCAGCTGTAAGACGTAAATGATATGATGTTACCCTAAAAGATTATATTACGTTCATCATAGCCCATCAGACGTCCACCGCCGAACTCGTAGATTGCCTCATATTTATCGTCATAGTTACCGCGTTTGTGTTGGCAAAAGCAGTTTTTATTACTATTGAGTTATTGCATGTCTTAAGCGCGAAGCGCGCAGGTATGTTCTGCTAGGGCCTAAAAATTAAGATGCCAACGTTTTGTCGCATGAAATCGTATCTAGCAATCATATTATACATATTTGTCGGAAAGATAAATGATTGTTGAACTTATTATTTTTTTTAAATCGATTAATTGCTATTTTTACATAAAAAAGAGGTTTTAGTGGCATATGGTGTGGATTTATCAAGTCCGCATGGCGGCGTAATTACGATAATTTTTGAAAATATCAAATGTTTAACTCAATCTATATTTTCATCAGTTATGCATCCCGGTATTCCCGGAACTGCACTGGAGACCATCAATTCAAACGTAAGCGTGGGCGTAGATTGCTGAATTGCGTCTGGAAGACGGGTGGTCTTTCGTGCGAATACTGATAACTATTCTTTAGCTTAAAGATCTAGAATAAGAATTAGGATAGTCATAGTTAGGCTCTCACATGTATCGGACATGTAGCTTTAAGTTAGAATCCATCGCGGATTAATTAAGTAGTATATAAGTAATGTATCGCACATTAATAGTAATAAGTTTAAAATAAAGTCTTTTTAAAAACGTCCTGAGCCAATTTCGAATCTTGACTATCTCTTCATCTATTATGTGGGAAGCCATGGAATGTAAATGGCAGTTTAATTTTGTTTTGTTTAGTTATAATTATGTTTTTTCGGCTGCGAAATGTTGAAATTTTCGGTGTTTTAGCACACTTGTATTAATTTATTTTACTAAATAGACTTCCTCACTCCGGCGTCAACCGCCGTCGTGAGTAGATACTACATAGGTTGTTTGCAGCGGCTCAAAAAGATCACTGTACAAATACAAAATATTCGAAAAACCAAATGTCATACATACTTGATACTTACTTACTTATCTTCACGCACAATCCCTGACGGGGTAGCCAGAGAGAACAGATCGCCAAGTGTCACGATCCTTACATACCTCTTTCGCTTCTTTCAGATTCATTATCTTCTTCATACATGCACGTCTAGGTATCCGAGTACTCTTGACCCTACCCTCTTCGAGCAATTTGCTCACATGGTCTTCGGAAGTTAGTCTCGGTCTACCTCGACACCTTTTAATGTTTACTTTCGCGCTATATATTTTCTTCACCATTCGGTCTTCACTCATTCGCTCAACGTGCCCAAACCACCGAAGCACGCCCTTATCAATTTTTGTGATAAGGTCATCTTTCAAACCTGCCATATTGCGAATCTCTTCGTTTCGCTTTCCGTCGGCCATGGTAACAATATACATACTTGATTTTTATAATAATCAGAGATTTTTATTATAATATTTTAAAAGCACAGAATAAATAATAGTAGTACGTACTAAAAGTAAGTAGGATGTATATATTTAAGTTTATTTATATTTAAATATGTCTTGGACTTTAAGGAGTTACCTGAATGATGATATGATGATAATAAAATATGAGCGTTATGAGTCATGCACTTTTGGATTATCCAAACTTTTTTTTAATTGAAGTTTGACATAAATTATTGGAAAATTGGAAGTATAATAAGGTTAATAGTGGAAACTTGTGTGTATTTAATAAATTTAATGTGTGTGTATATATATTTGACTAATTCTCCATTCTGGTGACTTGGAAGGTCCCAGGACTTCAGAATTCAATTACTGGATAAATCCAGTTCATCCCTAAGGTTCCGCCAAGGCGCATTACCAAATTATTCTGAGAAATTGTACAATTTTTAAACTTACCTTTCGCCTTACTCCATTAAGATGTAGCTTCACCATATATTTACCGAAGGGGTTGTACACAGGGTCTTTGTTTTTATTCTTAGGATATATAATGGAAGTGATTACTTTCTTTTTGAATCTTTTCTCATATAAAGCACTGACAGCGAGGGACGCAACGAACGAACAATCGGAGACTATCTGGAAATTAAAATTGTTAATTTTACAAAATACTAAAATTCTAAAATGACTTAAATAAGGCATTTTTTTCTCAATACGATTGTGCGCCCCTAATATATTTTTGCACTGTTAGACATGAGTCCCTTTTTAAAATTCAAGTTTTTTGGTAAGTGAATAGTAGCTTTTAAGTACCCAGCTTTTCGATCCCTGCTTTCTGCAATTTTAATTGATGATTTCGGACGAACCATGAAATACTAAAATATTTCGAGGAAATGCATAATCCGATAAGCCACACAAAAACAGGACCTCAACCGTTCTAGATATGAAAGGTCTGGTTTCATTGAAAAGTTTTCGCAGTTTCTTTTCAAGAAAGGCTTGACGGTGGTTCACAAATCGCTTACGTCACCTTATTACGTCACTTAATATATTTTTTTTTGCTCAAATTATATGTTAGTATAAACATTTTATTTTTTTAACTTACCGTTTGTTTAATACTAAAACAGTCCACATGTTCCCCAACTATCATTTTAGGGTCAACAGAAACTTCGTGTGGTCGGATCCAACAATCAAACTCTTTCTGCTGCTTCGAAGACAGTTTCAATTCACTGGCTCTATCTTCAAACGGTATCGCGTATTGGAATTTCTCTGATAGGTCCACATCCATGAAAGGTAGGAAACAGTTGTTGTTTATGTGCGACGTCTGACGCAGGACCTCCTTTTCTTCTTCTGTGTACACTTGCTTCCCAGTCACTTTCAAGTGTACACTTTGTTCCCTCTGCAATTGAGCTTTAGGTGATACCACTGAAAATTACATTATTTATTTATTCATTTATTCTTTGTTGAACATTACACAGTGTATATTCCTATAAAAAGCGAACTTAGTGCTAAAGCATGCTCTGCCAGTCATTTTCTCTTTTTTTAAAACAATGTTACCACCACAATAGGATTTTCTCCTGTATCGTGGGGGTAGTTTACATACATGAATTTCACAATTAATGTTCCGGGTTCACAATTAATTGACAAACATCAAGACCCGGGACAATTACTTGTAGCCCATACAAATACTTGTCCCGTTCGGGATTGGAACCCTCGGCCCTTAGCGTTGTGACTTATTGCTAAGCCACTGAGCCACGGAGACATCAACATTAGGGTAGTGATATAACATGGAAGGCACAGGTAAACGCCCAAGTGTAAAACAATAATATATACAGGGTTACTATTTAAAGAGTAGCCAAATTTTAAACATGAGTTCAAATGTATAAATAATGATATACCGTTATTGCAGTTATTTGAAATACTTTTATTAGAAATTATCCCAAATTGAATATGATTTATGGGCAACAACTACGCGTAAGCGCTCAGGGCTCAGATCTTCCCCATTTAAAAACACATTGGTATTCAGATTTTTAACATGTTGTAAATTTAATACATTTAGTTATATGAATTTGGGTGTGCGTAGTAAAATAGTAGGCGTTAGATATTTATGAACGACAATCAGTTAAATTAATGCATTACCATGCATTTTGAATTTAAAAGATAAAAAGGACAGTGTGTTTGAGATTTTTTTTAATTAATTTTTGTTCACCATTTGTCTGCCTTTATTACTTATTTCTGAACCTTCTCTGCAAATTTGGCCGGTTATTGCAAAATAACCCTGTATAGACACATAATTTGTATCCAAATAATAAAATACTGTGAAAACAACAAGCAGGGAGCTCTTTAAATTAATATTAGCGAGAAACAACCACAGATTTTTATGTTAAAAACATCTCATTTATGTTTCACGTAAAAAACACGGAATGGCAACGTGTATCGTCAGTGCGATAGCATTTCACATTACGAGGCATGGCAAATTTTATCTAAAGTGGGAGAGGCTACTACAATTGGATTATTATGGACTGATAAAGAAGAACGAAAGGAAGAAGAAATATATATCTTACCAGGTTTTGAAGGTCCATTGATTGATAGTGCACTGATTTTCTTAATGCCTTTTAACTCCTCAGCTCTGTCTAAAGCTTGTGCAGCGACATTTTTCACTTTTTGTTTGACTTCAGGATCATTTGTATTCTAAAATAAAATATGCAAACGGCTATTGAATGAAACTAATTTTACAGATTTTATAGTGTTTATTTTTAGTTGTTTTGAAATCACTAGTAGCAACTATACAAGTTGTTAGCGACGTGCTCAAAAATCGTTATACAAATTTGTATTAGCTTAAGGTGGCGGGTATGACGGCCCAATCATCTCATATGTTTTAAATATTATATTAAATTTTAAGGTAGAAATCGAACGGTGACGCAGTCAGTCAGCCTTTACTATCGCTCGCGACACACGTACCTTCGCTCTCTCTCATATGCTTTGTTCGTGTACCTACGTTGTGTAATTTAAAATAAACGGTTTTAACGAAATTTTGGGTTTCGAGTTTTCCTACCATTTTATCGCGCCAGTGCACCCTTTACAAAGTGGTCTTCGAACCGGATCTAATGTTCAGCACGCCGCCTGCAAAAATGGTAAAAACTCGAAGCACTACACGCAAGGAGCTCGAGAGCAAAGAGGACGAAAATCAGGAAGTCCAGTTACAAGTGCAGCCTCAGCCAACTGATGGAAATACACAGAAGGATAAACAGACACCGACCGCTAGCCAACTATATGATGTTGCGGGTAGCAGCGTCAAGCGCGAGTACCGCTTGCAACAGCCGCCCGCTTCGCGCACCGGGGCTAAGTCAACGTCCACCTCGTCCTCTCTGATGGCCAGGAGAAAGAAACTGGAACTAGAGATGGCTAAAGAAAAGGCTAAAATTCAAATGGATCTCATCGATAAGCAGTTTCAGGCGGATTTAGCAGACCTTATGGATGAAAAAGAGGAAATATACAGTCCACATAGTGACCCGCACGACGACACCAAGAATAAGAAAGTGGAGCAATGGTTAGAACAAAGCCAGCTCGAGCACGAACCCCCGTTGCACGCTCCAGAGTTCGGTGATCAGCCGGGCAAGCAGTGTCCGCCGGCGGCACCCGTTACCGGCCCATGTGACGGAACGGTTCATATGCTCGCGAGCGCACTACAGAATCTATCCTCGATCTCTGCAAATAATGGGACAAACAACAACCTGCTTAGTCGCATGTGTACCCCCCGGGACCTACCTAGTTACTCAGGGGACTCGCTGGAATGGCTCCAGTTCAAGCAGGCTTATGACGAGTCTACCGAAGTGTGCGGGTTTAGCCCGAAGGAAAATTTATGGCGTTTAAGGAAGTGTCTTCACGGGCCAGCTAAGGAAGCAGTCTCAGCTCTCATGATAAGCGGTACATCACCCGACGTAGTGATAAAAACTTTAGAGCTACTATACGGTAACGCAGACACCATTCTAAGCAAAATTACTCAGGGCCTGAAGAAACTACCACCTATGTCGAACGAATACAACAAAGACATTGTGTCGTTCTCAGTTAAAGTTCAAAATTTCATCGCAGCTGTGCACGCCGTCGGCCGAGAAGAGTACATGCAAGGAATGCATATTTCAAATATTATTTTATCCAAGATGCCTACCGTACTAATATCAAAATGGTCCGATTATAGTTTTGCTATAATAAAGGAAGGAAAGAAATCACGTTTGAATATATTAGGCGATTTTTTAAATCAAGAAGCTGTGAAAATTTCGACTACAGCGAACATACACGCCACAGAGGCTCGCAGCGTCGGATTTCAGCAGCACTACAAGAGTAAACCTTACAGCAACATCACCAGTCGTCCTCATGCAGTATTAGTGCAATCAACGCACAGTGACATTAAGTGTTTATTTTGCAACGTCGCAAAACATAAATTAACTGAGTGCAAAATGTTTAAAAAAGCGTTGCGCAAAGACAGGTGGCGTCACGTTAAACGCCACGGCGTATGTTACAAGTGCTTAGTGTCGCGCCACGATCGAGAAACGTGTCCCGCGGCCGTCTGCGACAAGGACGGCTGCGGCGAGGCACACCACCGGCTGCTGCACTACGTGCGCGACGCCGGCCGGGAGCCGCGCGACGCCAGCCGGGAGCCGCGCGACGCCAGCCGGGAGCCGCGCCCCGCCCCGCCCGGCGCGGGCGACACCGGCGACACCGGCGACGCGGCCCACAGCGGCCACACTTCCGGAGCCACAGCTGCTACCGTGACACACATTAACTCTGCACACAACGTGTTATTGAAAGTAGTACCTATAAACATACACGGACCTAATGGTGTAATCAGCACGACTGCATTGCTCGACGACGGATCAACAATAACATTGATAACCGGTTCCCTCGCTGCGCGGGCCGGCCTGCGCGGCCGCACTGAGACTATGCGCGTGAGCGGAGCGTGGAGCGGTAGCGATGTTATTGTTGATTCTACTGTTTTGTCTATAAATGTGTCTGATAAAAATAATTGTAATATGTCTACCATTAATGCACGAAGCGTAAACAATTTAAAATTGCCTGAGCAAAATCTTTATTCAATCGATTGTAGTCAGTATGCTCATTTGAAAAATTTGAAACATGATTTAATATTTTGTAATAATAATATTAAACCTGAAGTACTAATCGGCCAGGATAATCATCATTTGTTAGCTCCTATTGAAATGTGTATCGGTAAACGTAATGAGCCGTCCGCTACTCGCACCACCCTAGGCTGGTCCTTACATGGAATAGCGCGCGCACCGCCACACGGCACCCGCGCCTCGCACCCGAGCCCTCTACTGTGCTGCAGCGCGGGGCCCGCCGCGCCCGCCGCCGGTGATGCCGAGGACTTGCTTCGCGAACTTCATGACGAGGTAAGGCGCTCATTCATGCTCGATTCCCTAGGTGTGTGTAGCAAGCCCCGAGAGAACAGCGAAGACGTGCGCGCGCGCGCTCAGATGGAGCGCTCGGCAACGCTCGTGGCGGGCCGCTGGCACGTCGGGCTTCCGTGGCGCGATGAAGACTGCGTGTTGCCCGATAGCTACGCTAACGCTTGCAACAGGTTCAAAGGAGTAGAAAAAAAGATGGTGGCGAACCCTGACTACGCCAAACGTTACTCTGAACGAGTGGATCACCTTTTACTTAATGATTACGCTAAAGAGTCGACTGATATTCGGCGCACACCGCGAACGTGGTATTTACCACACTTTGGGGTCGATAATCCTAATAAAAAAAAGTTGCGTTTCGTTTTCGATGCAGCAGCGAAAAGTCACGGAAAATGTTTAAATTATTACCTATTGCAAGGTCCCGACTTACTCGCGTCCCTATTCGGCATTATGGTACGTTTTAGAGAGAATAGGGTCGCTGTAGCCGGGGACATTAAAGATATGTTCCTGAGAATTAAAATAAGGGACGAGGATCAAAATTCCCTTAGATTTTTGTGGAGACCTCGCCCCGAACAATCCGTCAAAACTTTTAACATGACTTCGCTCATATTCGGTGCTAATTGTTCCCCATTTATAGCACAGTACGTGAAAAACAGGAACGCGGAACGTTTCGTTTCGTCGCTGCCCGCTGCTGCCGACGCTATCTGCAACCAGCACTACATGGACGACTATCTGGACAGTTTCCCGGACGAAGCCACCGCGACGCAGATGGTAAGAGATATTGTTTACATTCACAAAGAGGGCGGCTTCGAAATATGCAATTGGAATAGTAACAGTGTAGTAGTGTTGGACAGCATACCAAAAGAGACCTTAGGTACAGTGGCGGTAAGTCTCAAAATGGGTCAGCAGTGTGAAGGAGAACGAACGCTCGGTCTTATTTGGTTTCCCGCTAAAGACGAGCTGGGGTTTGATTTATCCTTCAAGCGCATTCCAGAGTACGTAGTGAACGGAGCACAAGTGCCTACTAAAAGGGTTATGCTGCGAGTAATTATGTCTATTTACGATATTTTTGGTTTCTTGTCGCCGTTCACAATACAAGGTAAAATAATGCTTCAAAATCTTTGGCGATCAAACATTGGCTGGGACGACGAGATTCCCAATAGCATTTTTAATAAATGGAAAACCTGGATCGATTTGCTAAAGAAAATGAGTAATGTACGCATTCCTAGGTGCTACCTAAGCCCTCTAGGTGCGAGCGAGACAGGTGATCGCATCGCAACGGACACAGCTGATATTGTAGCAGGTCAGTGCTCCCCCGCGCCCCGCGGCCCGCCTACGCCCGCGCAGCCCGCTACGGCCTCTACGCGACTGACCGGGAGCTACGAAACCACGCGAGCTACGAGTGCTACGAAGTACTATAACACACAGCTGCATGTTTTTTGCGATGCATCTACTAAAGCGATGTGCGCTGTAGCTTATTGGCGGTGGACGTGCAATGGTAATGTGTTTGTTGCATTTATAGCAAGTAAATGTCGAGTTGCACCGGTAAAACCACTGACTGTGCCGCGACTAGAGTTGCAAGCAGCGCTTCTAGCGGCGAGACTCGCCGACACCATTGTTAAGGAGCATAAGTTGAGCGTGTTACAGCGATTCTTTTGGAGTGACTCGACCACGGTTTTGCACTGGATTAATAATGACGCGAGAAATTATAAAACATTTGTAGCAAACCGGTTGGGCGAGATTGATGAGGTCACTAGTAGTAAAGAATGGCGATACGTGCCTACTGAATTAAATGTTGCGGATATAGCTACACGCGAAACCTACGACGACGCCATTTTTAAGAGTGTATGGTTGGGGGGCCCTACGTTTCTGCGTGACGATGAGTCATCGTGGCCGCGTCACGTCATTCGTCCTGTCACTGATGTTGAGACAACTGAATGTGTTAATCTGGTAACAAATGTGGTTACTACGGACATCCCTAGTGTCGAGCCTACTCCCGATCCGGAACGGTTTTCTTCGTGGCTGCGGTTGCTCAAAAGTACAGCCGCTGTTCTTAGATTTATATGTAAGTGCAGGAAACGTACCGATGACGATTGCGAATTAATGGAACAGGCTAAACGTTTGCTGTTCCGGCGGGTACAGAGCGAGGCCTTCGGCACGGAAGTGAGCGCAATTAGAGAAGGTAAATGTTTGCCCCGCAACAGTCGTATTCTCAACTTGTCACCTTATTTGGACGAGCACGGCGTCCTTCGTTGCGGCGGACGCATTGGTGCGGCACTTGATGTCTCTTCCGAGACAAAAAACCCGAGTATCCTCGACGGGCGACATCGAGTGACGCGATTGTTGGTAAGACATTTCCACATAAAAGCTGCTCACGGAAACCAGGAGACAGTGGTAAATAACCTAAAGCAAAGGTACTGGATCATTAAAATGAGACCCACTGTTAAACATGTAGCTGCCGGATGTATGATCTGCAGAATAAGGAAGGCGAAACCGGAAATGCCAGTGATGGGCGATTTACCTCCCGCTAGAGTGGCGCATCACCAGCGAACTTTCACACACTGCGGTGTGGACCTATTTGGACCGATGGAGGTGGTGGTAGGGAGGAGAAGGGAAAAACGGTACGGTGTCATATTTACATGCCTTACAGTTCGGGCTATACACCTGGAGATCGTGCATTCCCTCACTACTGACTCACTAATTATGGCCCTCCGGCGTATGGCTGCCCGCCGAGGGTGGCCACGCTGCCTTTACTCCGATAACGGAACTAACCTACGTGGCGCTGATGCGGAGCTACTGAAGTCGATCCAGGAACTTGACGACGAGACCCTGAAGAACGAGGCTGCTAACAATGGGACGCAATGGTCTTTTATCCCACCGGCAAGCCCCCATTGGGGAGGGGCGTGGGAGCGTTTAATACGTAGCGTTAAGGTATCTCTAGGGGCTATACTCAAAGAGCGTGTCCCCAAAGATGAAGTTCTCGCCACCTTTATGACTGAGGTCGAGAATATAGTCAACAGCCGCCCCCTTACTCACGTGTCTGTAGAACCTGGTAGCAACGAGTCGTTGACGCCAAACCATTTTCTCCTGGGTAAGAGCTCCAACTTACCTGCTGCAGGTGTTTTCGATGACTCTGACTTGTACCTACGAAAACAGTGGCGAAAAAGTCAACGCTTAGCTGATATGTATTGGCGCAGATGGGTAACAGAGTACCTACCGGAGCTGATACCTAGAAGGAAGTGGAATGAGGAGCGCGAACCGCTAAAGGTAGGTGATCTCGTGCTGGTCGTGGACCCTGGAGCGCCACGCAACGTGTGGCAGAGGGCGATCGTGGAACAGGTGTTTCCAGGCAAGGACGGCCGGGTCAGGTTGGTTGAAATCAGAACCAAATCAGGGACGCTGAGACGTTCAGCGGCGCGCGTCGCTAGAATTCCTTTGTCTGAGTAGTGCTGAGCCAGCACTGGGGTGGGGTGTGTTAGCGACGTGCTCAAAAATCGTTATACAAATTTGTATTAGCTTAAGGTGGCGGGTATGACGGCCCAATCATCTCATATGTTTTAAATATTATATTAAATTTTAAGGTAGAAATCGAACGGTGACGCAGTCAGTCAGCCTTTACTATCGCTCGCGACACACGTACCTTCGCTCTCTCTCATATGCTTTGTTCGTGTACCTACGTTGTGTAATTTAAAATAAACGGTTTTAACGAAATTTTGGGTTTCGAGTTTTCCTACCATTTTATCGCGCCAGTGCACCCTTTACACAAGTATAAAAATAGTAAGTATATACAATACAAAAGGGTTGCAAAAGGGTTACAAAAGGTATCGTAATATGATTCTGTTCATGTAATCCTTTTCTGAGAATAAATAAAATCCCGCAAAATTAATTAAATATGAAAATTTACATAGCAATACATGAGGTGCAGGCGGTACACCGTCGTTTGCGACGATATACCGAATTTTAAAAATTTGTTAAGTTTTAAATAAATTGTTCTAAAAACATGTATGTATTTTACAAAAAAAAAAGAACTTACTGTAATTTAAAAAATACATGAATAAGATATTTTTTTATATTTTTCTGGTAACTATTATGATTTGTCCTATCACCCGGTTCCGGCTTGACATCGAATTTTGGGACAGCCTGTATAAAGTGGTAATATTCCTTAATATTTTATTTAAATTGGAAAGGCTTATAATGGGAAGCAGAATCTAAGATTAATTGGTACATTATATTGCACAGTGCCAGTTCACCTGCCAAGCATGTTAATTCCAAATTCTTCTTTTGTAAGAAAGGCCTATGTCACGCAGTAGATAGTAGATAGCACAGAACCACAAAAATGTTATGTAAATAAAGAAATACGATACTAATATTAAATATGTGATAAGGGGCAACTATAACCCATCTATAGACTTTTTGACCCTATCAGTTACAAACAAGTTAACATTGTGTATATTAAATTTGAAAAACATTGTGTACTTACAATACTGACAGCCAATTCTACAGCCTGTGTATAAAGCTTTAAGGCCAGGTCCTTTAAATTGGCCTCATCTGCATCTAAAGCCTGTTGCATAAGAAAGTAGCATTGTTGCATCCCACGCTCACTTTCAGCTTGCTTAGCTCTATCTAAAAGAAATTAAATATTAACTTACTAAGAGGATATTGGGGAAGTGTTTAGACTATGCAAACATTTACCTCTGTTTTGTTCCTGGATTTATTTATTTTTATTTTTTTTTATAGGAGAGGGGGCAAACGAGCATGTGGCTCACCTGATGGTAAGTGACTAACGCCGCCCATGAACAACTGCAACACCAGGGAGGGAATTGCAGATGCGTTGCCGGCCTTTTAAAAAGGAGTACGCTCTTTTCTTGAAGGTCCCTAAGTCGTATCGGTCCGGAAAAATCGCAGATGGTAATCGATTCCACAAGGAAGTCGTGCGAGGAAGAAAACATCTTCTAAATCGCACATTGGTGGACCGCCAATCATCCAGATGGTGTGGATGGTATCGGGAGTTCTGCCGCGATGTGCGTTCGTGAAATTTGGCGGCTGGGATTAATCCGAACAATTCCTCAGAGCACTCCCCATGGTAGATGCGAAAGAAAATGCAAATGGATGCAACATCTCTTCGCAGTGCCAATGAATCGAGCCGATCGGAAAGGGCTCGGTCGTCGACGATTCGAGCCACTCTGCGTTGAATGCGGTCAAGTGGAAGTAGCTGGCACTGGGGAGCCCATGCCCAGAGATGGGAACAGTATTCCATGTGAGGCCGAACCTGCGCCTTGTAAAGTTGCAGGTGGTGTGCCGGCATGAAATACTATAGCAATGAATGTTACCAGTTAGCAACATATCATTGATATGCAGAAGAAACAGCGTTGGTGATAGCACACAGCCTTGTGGAACACCAGCGTTAATAGGCTTGTAGTCAGAGCATGCACCGTCTACAACGGCCTTGATGCTCCGATCTGCAAGGAAGCTGGTGATCCAATTGCACAATTTCTCGGGAAGCCCATAGGAAGGGAGCTTCGAAAGAAGCGCTTTGTGCCAAACCCGATCGAAGGCCTTCGCAATGTCCAGACTAACGGCCAACGCCTCCCCCTTGGACTCTACTGCCTCCGCCCATCTATGGGTCAGGTAGACCAGAAGATCACCAGCTGATCGACCCCGACGAAAACCGTATTGGCGGTCACTAATCAGCTGGTGATCCTCAAGGTACCGGATGAGCTGGCAGTTAATAATGTATTCCATTATTTTGGAGAACAAGGAGGTGATCGCGATAGGCCTATAGTTGGATGGGTCTGAGCGGTCGCCTTTTTTAGGGATCGGGTGGACAAAAACTGTCTTCCATAAATTCGGGACTACGCCTTGGGAGTAGGAGTACCGAAAAAGACGCGTTAGGACCGGTGCCAACTCCGGAGCACACGTCCTCAGCACTATTGGGGGAATTCCGTCAGGCCCACTCGACTTCTGGATGTTCAGGGAGAGCAGTGCTTTGCGAACCGAGCGCTGTGAGAACAGCACATCTGGCATGGAGCACTCACACCGCGGGATGGTCGGCGGTGTTTTCCCCCCGTCATCAAGAGTCGAGTTGGACGCAAAAAGGGAGCCTAAAAGGTCGGCTTTGTCTTTTGCTTCTTGGGCCAGTGAGTCATCCTCCCTGTGCAGAGATGGTAATAATGGCTTACAGAAATTCCCTTGGACAGCCTTGGCGAGAGACCAGAATGCACGGGTTCCCGAAGGAAGGCGAACTAGTTTCTCGCCAATTCTGCCCATGTGCTCTGACTTTGCCTTGGCAATAAATCTTTTGAAGGACCTGGAGGCGAAGTTATGCTTCTTTTTAAGTGTGCTGGTGTTTACATCCCGAGTCGCCGAAGCCGCAGCCCAGGCTTGATAACACTCCTGCTTACTGCGTAATGCAGTCTTACAGGAGCGACCAAACCAAGGCTGAGATCTGCCTCCGATGGGTACCACAGATGATGGAATAAATAGTTCCATTCCCTGTAGCACTACATCAGTGACAGAGTCAGCAACAGCGCTGGGATCATCCGGTGAGAAGCAAACCCATTGGTAGGATGCAAAGAAAGACCGCATTCCGTCGCAATCCGCCGACCTGTAATGCCAAACACGGCGGCAACCTGCAGAACGCAACCGCGAAGGGAGCGTGAGTGGCACCATACTCCGGATCAGACAATGGTCGGAAGAGCCGAGAGGGGCATCGACGGAAAACTGATATCCGTCCGGATGAGAGGTCAGCAGAAGGTCCAACAGGGAAGGTATATGATCCTCCACATCTGAAATCCGCGTAGGCGAAGTAACCAGTTGTGTCAGACCATATACCAAGGCAAAGTCATAAACAGATCTCCCCGCATGATCGGTTAAACGTGAACCGAGCCATTGGACATGGTGGGCGTTAAAATCGCCAAGGATCACGATCTCTGCGGATGGGACCTGTTGTAGCAAGGAATGTGTAGCCATTTGGACGTGGTCGATGAGTCGGTCTGTTTCGGCATTACCGCTATGGGACCTATAGACGCACCCGTAGACGCGCGGATGGTCGTCGCTGTCTACGAGTAGCCAAAGGATGAACAGGTCCGAACCTTCAAGACTGCCGAGGCGTCGAGAACAGATGTCCTCTCTGACATACACGCAAACTCCAGCCAGAGGCATAAAGGAGTGCTCCAACTTGTACCCCGGGTAGGAGAGATACGAAATATCAGCCGGAGAGGAAACCTGCGTCTCGGTCAGAAAGAGCAAGGCCGGCTTCGCCGTCTCGAGATTGTAGTGGACGGCGTTTAGGTTAGAGTGAAGTCCCCTGATGTTGCAGAAATTCATGGATAACGTGGCCTTGGTATTGTTGCTCAGTTTGTCCCGAGCAGTTATGTTTTTGAGCGGAATTTTGCCCCCCCAGAATACGCGGGGCAGCCTGAGCACCCACGCTCAGGATTGAAATAACATGTTCGTGGATGCTCAGCGAGGGATTCTCCAGGGGTACTGGTACCCTCCTGGGGTAGTCTATCGTGTAATTCCGCTACCATGTTGATGGGGGAGGGGGGGGGGGGGAATTGGGCCTCCGGCCACCTGCACTCACCAGACGAAACGCAGAAGCAGAGCTTCTACTTCACGCCGGTATTCTGTGAGGTCGTGGTACCAACCCGGCTCGAGCCGGCCCATACGTGCAACAGCAAAAACTGCTGCGTGGCTCTACCACCGTTAAATTTATTTATTTGTATGGATCTCCAACAGTTGTACATATTAAATTACTTCTAACACATGCCTTATATCTAAAAAATTTCTATGTACTACCAATTATAGGAGAACACATCATACTAAAACAATAGCAGTGTTTATAATTGGCCTGTTTTAATGGTAGTTGGAACAGAAATAAGTTTAAACAACAAAAGATAGATAATAGTTTTTGTAACATAAATAAAAGTTATGTTTGGCATAAAGTTAGTGACTAATTAATTTTTCAAACTATCATTACATTTTTTCATAAAAAGTAGGAGCCCATCACAACCAATGTCTAGTGTTCCTATGTTTTTTTACACATACATTGTATACATGTGATAAACGTGTTATTGGAGAATTCTGTCCAAGTTTTGTTCGAGTGCTATTAGTCTTAAAGAAAGGACATGGGTTGCGAGGAGGTCTCCGAGGTATATTAATATTAAATCTACTCAACAGCTCACTATCATCTACTGTTACCATTGAAAAGTTTATCAAGAGATTTTAAATCTAGAAGAGATCTACGAACTACCAGTGGTTTCATCCTAAAGTAATCGAGTTTCTCTTTGTAGCACTCACTATAACTTGACGCCTTAAAACAAAATATTAAGTGTTTAAGGAGTCTTTTTTGAACACATTCAATTCTTTCAATGTGGTTTTTGTAATGGATAATGACATTAAAGCTAATATATTTGGGTTGGCTATAGATATCCGGTACTTGATTTTAGTTATGTTTTCAACTTAGGAGGCTTGTCAGGGTTAAGCATGAACATTTTAAACTGTTTTTGAATGTCGGAAATGCGTTTTTAATTAATTATGACAAAAATAAATTTCAATAAAAATTCCGTATAACGAAACGCAAATATGACAATTTTGTATAGTGTTATGAGATTAGATGTCAAAAACAGATGCAAAAAGTGTGAATCGGAACGGTTGTTGACGGCCATGTTGTCGGCAACCGTAAATGTCAAATATAATATATTATCTATGATGTCAAATGTAAATTGTCATTCCGTTTCTCTAGTAGTCACGCGAATGTTCTTTTTTGTGCTTAGTGCTGTGTTTTCCCTGTTTTTTCGACGACTTCTGCTCTGTTTTTGGACTTCTTTGATTGCCCTTACGTTTGACCTTGGCTTTGTTTCTGGTTTTGATTGGATTGCATTACTTTGGACTTTGGCTTGCTTACCGGACCTGAGAATGAGCGATTACGAACCCGTAGCGGGGCCTTCTTCGGCATCTGACGCTTTACTCGAGGAACCATCACACATCGACGAAGACTTCTCTGACGACGGCGACTATGTGAAGCGTCGACTATACGTGTCTGAGATTATGTTCATGTGGAATCTGTCGGATATTGTGCGTGAACTTGGAACGAACGAGCAATGTGTTCGATATAGTGAGGATGAAGGGCTGGTCCTAAAGGAACGAAAGTGCGGCAAACATAAAACTAATATGAAAATTTCATACTCAAGTGGCTGCAAATCGCTTGGTACTTTCATATGTGCTAAAGCATCCTGTAAGGGGAAAGCTGGAGGCAGTGGAGTTAAAATCTCACGACGACAAGGGACTTTTTTTGAAAATGTAACTCTTGATATGCCCCACATATATTACCTCATATATGCATATTCACAAGGATGGTCTTATAATCAAACAATCCATGAAGACCCATATAAACGACAGAGACAACAATGTTTAAGCCCAAATACAATATGTGATTGGTACAATTACTGCAGAGAGGTAGTTGTTATTTACTACCTCGAGAAACAGAATCAGTTTACTGGAAAGATTGGTGGCCCTGGTAAAATTGTACAAATTGATGAGAGCAAATTTGGAAAACGAAAATACAATAAAGGTAAATATAAGTATGATTATGTTTACACCTTTTTTTGTCATACTAAATGTCTAATATTAATTTTATTTGTTATAGGACGTCACATCGAAGGCCACTGGGTGCTCGGTATGATAGAAGATGGGTCTGAGGATCTCAGACTAGAGGTGTGCCCGGACAATATTAGGTCTGCTGAGGTACTGGTGCCGCTTATACAGAGACATGTGGCGGCGGGTACCACAATTCATACTGATTGTTGGCGGGCATATGATTGTTTGGCAGAACACGGGTACACACATAAAAAAGTTAACCACTCAGACCCAGACAATCCATTTGTGGCTGAAGATGGGACTCATACACAACTAATTGAGTCGCAGTGGAGAGCAGTGAAGAGGTTTTTTAGAAAACAAAATTATAATAATTCTCAAAGTTTTACAGACGTGATAGTAGAGTATTTGTGGAGACGAAATGTAGAAAAGTTTAAAAAGGATCCATTCAAAGAAATTATGAGAGCAATAAAGCATGTGTATAAAATAAATTAAATAATTAAAATTACATTGTTTCATTTACCACTATCATAGCAGAGTTTAGGGAAACCTGACTTTAGATAAGATAGATCGAATTTGTACTAAAACTGACTCAGAACACCCCGACTCCACGTAGTCTTGTCTGCCCTACCCCTAGAGTGTTTTTTAAAGCCGTAGGCGCGGAGGGAAAGCAGCCCCCGCCTGCTGTAGCAAATCGCAGGCCCCCGAGCGAGTCGTAGCGGCTGAGGCTGGTCGCCGAAGGCGACCAATAAGCCAAAGCTGCGGAGGTGAGCATGGGGGCCTGCGATTTGCTACGCAAGGGCGATGGGGCTGCATTTCCCGTAGCGCCGAAGCCTTTACAGAAGTAACTTTGTGTCAATATTCCTATGTAAAAAAGTGAGGTTATGATTTTACAAAAGAAATTATTACTCATAAACTATACATTTCCGCAAGCGGGGAAGGGTAGGGGGCTTCCCCTGATAAAATAATGTTATATACTAATGTATGGTAAAATAAAACAAATATAAGTAGTATTTGTACATAGGGATTGTAAGCTAATGAATGGACTTAATATTTATAGAATGGGGTGTTTGTAGGAAACTTATGTAGTAGATATGAGTTTAGAGAATTTGGTTAGTTAAAATATATATAGATAAATTAACATATATGTACTCGATTTTCTTAAGTGAGTCATCACTTCTTTGTCTAGTTTGTAGTTTTAAAGTTTCGAGACTTCTATACAAAAAATATACTTAATAAACTTGAATTGTACCTTTCTGTTCTTGTAAAAAAGTAGCTCTTTCTAAATATTCCTTAACTTTTACTCGTATATCAACTTGTTTTTCTGAAGGTACTCGATCACAAACTCGGTCCAACAACCTAGCCGCTGTTCTATAGCATTCCACTGCTTTATCAATCTGTCCTGTTTGATCAAATCTAACAGCGAGAGATGCTGCTTCGCTGGCATTAATTAAATCACTCATTATATTTACCGGAACAATAAAAATAGTAAATAAACAAACTTGGGAGCTTGAACTTGTACGCGAACCACGAATTGTCATACGTCAATGTCATTGCCAACAGTGCTGCCACCTTGGAGAAAAAATTATCGCTAGTTATGGTCTGAAATTTCCTCAGATTTTGGGATATTTTTGATAAAATAAATCCCTAGAATTCACCAAATTATTTAAAATAATATCAAAAGGTAGGTAATAAAAATACTATTTTAATTCTAAAAAAAATGACAATAAACATAACATATAAAATTAAGTCACACAAAATCACAGTGTTTGGGTGAATGTGAGAACTAATTATTAGTTTATCTAATGATAAACTTTATATTTCGCGGCAACGTTTGCTCAGATGCATGTGAAACAGCTAATTGCAATGAGTGGCAAACACATCTGACTAGAATTTAATTAGGAGACCATCTTACCTTTCAGTATTCATATATCAACTTATATATATACATATATATACGTTTCGGTATTTAACACTCACTGAAACAAATTTTAAACACGTATAAGTTTCTCATTATTAGTCGGGAAATCCCCAAGGTAGGTAACCAAACAAGGACGTTTAATTATGTTTTTTTAATATGAGAAAAGGATAGTGCTATTTTGACATAAACTGGGGAATTTACCGACAGGTAAAGAGGTTTCCTTAAAGGAATACTTTGAAAGCGTGTTTAGGAGTGAAGAGTCGTCTGAAGTAACTGAAATAGAAATTCCGGAAGAAGTGGAGAGAGGTAGGGAGATAAATGTAGATGAAATAATGAAAGCAATGAAAAGTATGAAAGCAGGTAAGGCAGCCGTATATAATAGAATATCACTCGAAATGCTAAAGGCTGGAGAGTGTGTGGTTGCAGGCCTGCTGTGCACCTTGTTTAATTTATGTTGGGAACTGAAGCGGGTACCGGAAGACTACTGCAAAGCCGTTATAGTGTATGCGTAGATATATGGATGTAAAGGAGGCGAGAGAGGTGTATCAGGATCTCGCCAAATGGAAGTCCGTAGTCTCTGCCTATCCTTCTGGGTGACAGGCGTGAGTGTTTGTGTGTAAAGAGGGTTCCTAATATGTATTTTCTAAATCCTTCAAGGTTTGATAAATATCACTAAAAGTCATGAAAAAATATTGTTGTGGCTTCGGAACAGTCCCGATATAATATCCTTTTCCTAAGTATTTCCTATCCTCCCGCCTCCCCCATATACGCACTACTCAAAATGGTGCGCCACCTATCGTCAAGAAAAAGAAGAAGCAAGATGGCCGCGCTCGCATAAAACGTGTTCGTTAACGCTCGTTTAAAAATACTTAATAAATAAGTTGTAAGACTATCGTGCAATTGCTCGTGTCCATATACATTCGAAGTGCAGTGTGGTGTCTGTGTATACACGAGAACTTCAGCCTAAATATTTAGACTTCACCATAACCACGAGGAGTGCTCCAGTCTTGTGAGTATCCTTGCCTTATCTACCCAGTTCTAAAGCTATTTTCATTTACTTCCTGATTGGGATCATCGGGTTTGCCAGCCCTTGGTCTGGTTGTTCTCTGGTTCCCAAAACCACCCTACGAAACACATTGTGAAACATTCAAGCCGTAACATAATTTCTGGTCCATACGATCCGGGTACCTATGGATTTCTATTTTTATACAGTCCGCTCCTGATTAAGATAATATCAAGTTCAATTTCTAAGGAAAACTTTGATATTTAATCTATTTTTCTTATAATTGAAAGTAAGCAGGATTATAATTAAAATGAATTTAATTATAATCCTGCTAGACTTGAATGTTCGTGAAGTGTTTCGTATTGCTCAGACTTTGTAGACTTATCTTATTTGGTTGCGTTATAATTGCTAAGTTTATTTCGAATGTGCATTGATAGTCTTACGCTTTGAAAATTATTATAATTTGAGGGTATTTTATAATTATTGTTGGAAAAAATTACTAAATCAGTTTATGGAAATGATTCATTTGGTCTTGGAATAATAGCACTTAAGTATAAATACTTGTATATTTTTGAATGATGAGTCGTTTGTTAATTGTTATCTAATTCAAACAGTAAAAAAAACGTTAACATAAAATTCAGTGTTAGAATGTTAATTTAGTTTTGACAAACTTAAATATTGATTTAAATATCTGTCGTTAATAATTATACTTAACATTCATATTTAATAGTTCGCTGTTATTTTATAATCATGTCGCAAGAAGAAATGAAACTTAAACTTTATACGTCACAGCGAGAGTATGTTTTTCGTTCTATTCAAACTCTTTTCGATTTATCCACTCAAATACGGGAAGACTCCAGTTCATCTAAACATAGCCAATTTAAATCTAGATTTCTTAAAATTGAGAACATTCGTGATGAATATGTGTTGCTTACGGAAAAAATTAATTCGTTAAAACTGACACTGTTTCCTAAAGAAAAAATAGATATGCAAGCGTTGTCTGCATTTGATGATATGTACTATGAAGTCCTAAGTTTTGCCGCAGAGATGTCCCTACCGGAGCGTAAACGAAGTAACAGCCCAACGTCCGCTGACGTTAACTACACCTTTACGCCCGACGCGGAAAAGATACAAGCTAGACTGCCACAAATTGAGCTTCTGAAGTTCGACGGAAAAATTGAGAATTGGCAAACATTTTACGACACTTTCGTAACCTTAATTCATAATCCAACAATTAACATAATTCAACAGTGGTAGAGCCACGCGGCAGCTTTTGCTGTCGCACGGATGGGCCGGCTCGAACCGGGGTAGTACCACGACCTCACAGAAAACCAGCGTGAAGTAGAGGTTTACCTCTGCGTTTCGCTTGGTAAGTGCAGGTGGCCGGAGGCCCTTTTTACTGGAAATGAGGCATTCCATCTTAGTCCTCACGGGTGACAACGCATCTGCATTTTGATTTGTAACAGAGGATAGATGTAGATGTCTATGGGCCGCAGCAACCACTTACCATCAGGTGGACTGTGTGCTCGTTTGTCACCCTTATCCTATAAAAAAAAAAAAAATCAATCGCGAATATTACTAAATTTCACTATCTCATTTCTTGTTTATCGGGATCCGCCTTAGGGATCGCAAAGAAGGTAAAATTAACTTCCGATAATTATGAGCTTGTATTCAATGAACTTATTAAGCGTTATCAAAATAAGCGCATTTTAGCCGTGGCGTATTTAGATCAAATAAATAACTATCCTTATTTAAAAACTCCTAATTTCAATGATTTACAAACATATACTAATATTCTTTGTGAGTCAGTCAATGCCCTTAAGGCCTTAGAGCTAGATGACTTAGGCGATTTTATTTTATTTAACGCAGCGTTTCGCGCACTGGACTCAGATACGCGCCACCGCTTCGAATCTGAAAATAAATCGGAAATTCCTTCTTTTCAAAGTCTTATGCAGTTTCTTCAAAACTATGTAAAAGTTTTAGAAATAAATGCTAATGTTGACATTAGGGCACGATCTTCTCAATTTTTAGGCGGTAAACAGATCAAGAATGTTTCACCGCGGGCACCGAACCTGAAACGTTCCGTGCTCACTACTCAGTCTAAGCCTACTAGTTCGAAGCAGCTGGCTTCACTAGCGTGCTATTATTGTGGCGCAGCGCACAGTATCTATAAGTGCCCCACGTTTCAATCTTTGGACACCAGTGCTAGAATAAATATTGTCAAACAAAATGATTTATGCATTAACTGTTTACGAAAACATTCTCTTGATAAATGCGTCTCAAAAATGAGATGTTTTATATGTAGTGGTAATCATCACACTCTGGTACACATCGACAACCAAGTTCGATCACCGACCGCGGTGACCACCGGTTCGAGTAGCGCCCACACTAACACGAGTGCGTTCGTGGGAGAGGCTCGTGGCACGTGCGTGGTGCTGCTCGGGACGTGTATGGTGCGTGTGCAGGACTCTAGTGGCACGTTCCATCAAGTTAGAGCGCTGATCGATAGCGGCGCTCAGGACTGCTTCATCACTATGAAATGCGCAAAGAGACTTGGCTTTCAATTGCGTCGATGTACCACAACTGTGGCTGGACTTGGACAACAGTCTGTGTGTCAAGTCAAGGGAGTGACTCAATGCTCTATACGCCCGTGTGATTCGAATGGCCCGCAATTTGATATTAATCCTATAGTCATCGATAGCATTACTTCTAAAATGCCAACCACTGATATTCCTCTAGCGGTTCGAGACTGTTACAAACACTTAGTATTAGCGGACCGTGACTTTGACAAACCGTCTGATGTTGATTTATTGCTAGGTGCGGAAGTATTTCACCACATCTATGACGGCCGTGTCATTCACCCAGAGCCCGGCTATCCTGCTGCTTTACATAGCGTCTTTGGTTGGGTGCTCTCAGGACCCACCAATGTGGAGAGTCCGGTAAAATCGGTTGGCACTTCGTTAATTACTTCAACCAACTCATTGGAGAAGATGACGAAACGATTTTGGGAAGTCGAGGAACCGCCTCATCAACATATACCTGCTCCAGAAGATGAGGAGGTCGAACGCCTGTATTCCACTCAAACTTATAGGGAATCGGACGGTCGATATGTAGTTCCTATCTTATTGAAGCAGTCGTCTGTCTATATGGGAGGCTCATATAATAGTTCTTTGTCGCAGTTTATAAATCTTGAGAAAAAACTTTGCCGACAACCAGAACTTAAATCACTCTATAACGATTTTATGCGTGATTATGAGCAGCTTAACCATATGCAACCAGTGGGAAAGGATACTACACCTGGTAGATATTTCATTCCTCACCATTGTGTGATTCGTCCAGAAAGCATAACGACCAAACTTCGCGTTGTATTCAATGCGAGTCACAAGACGACAAATGGACTATCTTTAAATGATATTGTTTACACTGGACCGAAGTTACAGGCTGATTTGGTTGACATTATTACTGGATTTCGGGTCCATAATGTAGTGTTTACATGTGACATATCTAAGATGTACAGGCAAATCTTGATAAGGCCTGAG